CATCCTAATTCTATCAGTAACTGTGAAAATGGTTAACGGTACGAACAATTTATGAGGATTCAGAAAATTATTCCTTCAGCTTTTGGCCTGCTTTTTTGAATTGCTTCTCCCATCGGTGGTAGCGTTCCGTTTTCGTGGTTTTTTGAGGCAAAATATCGTAGGATCCAGACTGGAGTCCTGATTATTTGATTTTTGCTTACAGGGGACTAGAAAACCGTCTTGCCACTTTAAAGCTTGTTCTTTATTGTTAACTTCTGTTTTGGCCGCACTTTGTCTTGCGAAAATTTCACAAGAATCCTGGGTTGAATTGTAATGTACAGTGAAAAAAGTGTTCGCCGAAACGGTTTTTCGTGCTTCTCTTTTTTTTGCCAGAAAAAATCAATGGTGACCTCGAAAATTTTTCTTTTGAATATCCTGATTCTTTAAGACTTGAGGATATAAAAACACTAGAAAACATAGTATATCAATCTTTGGAGGCGTTGCTCAAGCGAGAAAAAATAATGCACCGAAAATCGTTTCGGCGAACACTTTTGACCGCTACTGTATCTTATCACTGTTTGATTTGTTTTTGATTTGTGTGTCCCACAATTTTTTAGCTGTTAGTTTTCATTTTTTAGCGAAAATATAAAAGGATAAAGGATAAAGCATTTGCCGTTGATCAATCCCTTTTTGGGATGCGGCACGCATTCTACTTCCATTTGTACATTCGTAGTGGCGTTTGAATGCGATGTGGCCTATACAATGACTTGCGGGGCCAGCCGATGTACAAGTCAGTGTTTTTATCCTCCCAGACAAGTCTGGTACCAATTAACCGACCCCGGAGGGATGGAAGGCTTGGTTGGCCCGGGCGACTCACGACCCAGGATTTGATCCCCGGACCGCTCGCGTGGTAAGCGTGCCACTTGCCACTACACCACTTCCGCCTAGCATATTACGGGTTTACCGATGCTTCATTCATGTGATATACATGTCTTGATATAAAAATCCATTTGATCGATGAGATTTTCTTCTAAATTTTCTTCTGCCTTGTTCCTTCCAGTTTCTTTCCAACTTTTATCCCTGATTAATACTATGTTTTCAACATGTTCTTCCTTAGAGGAATCTTGCGCGGAAAATTCTTGCACTCTTTCTTAACGTGAATATGTCAGTGAGCTATGACCCTCAATGAAGGCTGTTCCCTTGGTTGTAATTATAGCGAGGGAGGCTCGCTAATGGGTCGCCTTTGGATCCACGGCGTTTTTTGAAGTTTTTAGGGAAGGTACTGTATATAATTGGACCGCTCTAGATATCGTTGAGTTGTTTTCATTCCAAAGCTCTTCCCTAATTATATTCCATTTGTGATCACTGGAAATAGCACACAAAGTTTCACGCATGAAGATTCGGTTTCTGAAGAGAAACAAACGTACAAAAACTACACGTTATGGACCATCGAAGGACCAGGAGGCAGAGCCAGGCGAGGCATGGAAAGAAGACGGCGTTTGGCCGGCTACGTACCAGGCGACGCAATGAGAGAATCGGGTTAAAGCGCGCGATTTCGGAGAGTGGAGACAAATCGATCGATGGAATAGGATGGAGTAGAAGTGTAAGATGTGAATGCAACGAAGCAGAAGGCCAGAAAGAGCTTCTAGTGAATGCACTCCAAGAACCAAGTTTGAGCATCCCCGTCGCCAGCATTCGTGAAAGACGTCCGTGGGCAATTCGAACGCGTAGCAGCCTTTTCGAGTTTTCGAATTTCTAATCAAAACGAAAGCAATACTTCAGTTCTTTTCACTATTATCGTGGATAATGAGTCTCAAGCCAGTGATTTATGGCTGAAATAGAATCATGATTTTTCCGCGCAAGATTCCTTAAATCTAGGCAACCCGCTGTTTGTGAAGGTTCTTAACGTGTTTGAGGCTAACCGCTGAAGTCTCCTACGTAAGTAGTTCGCTTCTAATCTATAAGACCTTACAGTAGCTGGATGTTATGCTGCTACATTACTTGGTCACCGGGTTGTCGTTAGCGGCTATGTGATCGTAAAAATGGCCAACTGATGTAAGGAAATTCAGCTCAAATCAATCAAGAAAATACTCTAGGTAAGTAAGTATCTGGAACCATATCATATTCAAAATAAGTAAACCTAAGGCAAAAAAAGTCTCTTGCTTGAGCCTGTCAGTAGCTGAGAGAATTTAATGTATTAGAAAGATTCCGGTAGCGCAAATTTACAGAAGGCAAGCGACAGTTTACTTACTTACTTACTTAGATACTTAGATGGCTCGTCTTCACTCCATGTGCGAGCCACCGCACAGATTCCATTCGTTTCGTCCTCTCGCTACCGTCATCCACGATACCTTTCTTCCTTGACGGCCACGAGTTTCCATAGCGGACTTCAGAACGTTAACGAACACGTCGGCCCATCTAATAGGTGGTCTCCCTAGAGGACGCTTGTGGTCTCTAGGGATCCACTCTATTGTCCTTCTCGTCCACCTGTCGTCAGTTCTCCTCATGATATGTCCGGCCCACCTGTGTTTTGCCTTGTAAGCGTATTCCACAGGATCTCTGAGTCGAGACATCACCCTCATATCTGAACTACGAAGTCCTGCTCGATGTGTGTGAGCAGCGACAGTTTGAGGAAACATTAAATTGGGTTGTCACCGGCCAGTAAAAGGCGTTAAGCCCATTTTGGTTAGAAATTAAATGGTTATTAGGACTTAAATGTTGAACAACAGTTTGAGCCTCCGAAAATTTATCTCAAAAAGCTTCAGAAGGCTTTAATCTCAGAGATTCCCAAATGGTTTCCCATTATCTGCTCTAAGTCCTTCGTCAGTCCATCGTTTGCTGTCAATAAATACTTCAGAACTTACCCACACTAGAAATTGAGAGTTTAGAAGTCTGTCATGAGGCAAACAACGCTGGGGTGACAGAAGTGCTAATCAGCCAAATGTGGCACAGCATTTTGGAAAGTTTCGATTAATTTCTTTTAAAGCTTTTTCTGAATAAGTTTGGAAAAAATTGATAAATGAAAATGAGAATATTGTTGAGTTAATAGGTTGAAGGTTCAGTTAGAACGTTTGGGCTCCAATAGAGGTTCACGACAGCACCATACAAGTCCTTAGGAAAAGCCGTGCCAAGGCAACGTCACTAGAAAGACTTGGATTCTTTCGACATTCTATAAATCTATCTACAGCTATTTCTGTGACATCCGATAAAGAGGTATATATTCAGATCAACAAATGCCCAAAATCGCATCCGAAGCCAGGCGACTACACTGGAACAGTTTATAAACTGTCTAGTAACCAGAGGAAAAGTCATTTGAAGCCATTTTGGCCAAAACCGTAAGTCTCCAATTTATTGCCAGTGGGAAAAGAAGGATGTTTTAAATAAGCTTTTAACAAGCTCGTTACTGAGCTAGTACTGCCATTGTACTCTGACTCCGAACTTCTCGAAAATGAGGTGTTTCAGAATGGCAACTAGCGCATTGTATTATGGAACAAGCCGCCATCATGAGGTTTGGTAGATGCGCGATCTGGATTTGACGGCTTCTTAGGCGCGTACTATGCCAGCCGCCCAATTTTGATAATCTAACTTGCACTAACCGAACCCCGTTACACCAACTTCGCCGCAAACTAGACCGAAAACGTTATGGGTTTGATTCAGAAGGCTGACCTTATTTTCTTGGGAGCATGCAAAAAATAATGGAGTTCGTTTTCGTGCGCTTCTGGATAGGGGAATTAACATATTAAATTGTTTGTGTACGCAATCATAGGAACCGAGCATTGTGGGCTCGCTACACTACTGAAAGCTGCATATAAACTGCCAACCTGCGGTTCTTATTCTGTGATATCCAACCCTCCTACGTCCTTATGTGTTTTCCCTCGGTTTTCCTTGAAGTTCTTTTTTGGAAGCAGCTTCGGCAGAAGAGGGACACAGTAAAGAGCAAATAATGAGAAAGCCTGTAAACCCCTTCTTATACAGAGAGGGTATCAGAATAAGAGGAAAATTTTGTCTCCAGACTCAAATGGATTTAATCACACTTTGCTCAGCTCAAAGCGTTCCCAACTTAGAATTGAAGAGCGCATTTCATTCATAAGAAATAGTGGCCATCTACGTGGACGGCATCAGAAAAGTTTGCCCCGGAAACATGGTGCTCTGGTCGAGCTCAATGGGGTTCTCGACTGATCGTGTACCGTTACGACGGGTTCCGAAGGGCGGGTTCCGAGGGGGTTTGCATAGTTAGAGCTAATGTCCCTAGGAAACTATCCCACGTTGAATCGATCCAAGAAATTATGTAAGAGCTTCAGGCTGAAGCAGTTACTGTAGGCCTCCCTGAGCTCGACGACGGTGACAGATGACGTCATATTCTGAAGACGGTGAGGTAGTGAAGGAGGGCCTGCGTGTACTTATAGAGGGACATTTAGGGAATATTTTGCTGAGGAACTTCCGTCAGCGACGGCAATTCTGCTGCAGAAGAAAAAAGGCCCGAACGTGGCGACTTGGCAAGTATATGTTTTGCCCCCCCCCCCTCCTATAGAGCAGGAGTGGGCGGGCAAACTCAAGGGCATTTTGCTCTAACGGAACAGTCCCGTTCATACACTAAATAAGACTGACTACATGTTGCAGTGAGTCCAAGATCTCCGTGAGCGAGGCCACAAATATGACAGTACAAAGCAACAAATGAGATCAACAGAAAAAGATCCTCCATGTTTGTTTTTGTCATTTTCTTCTGAATGAAATTAGGGTACAGTTTCGTTGGTAAAACTTCCTAGGAGGGGAAGAGGATGGGCGAAAAAGGCACTCTTCATTTCGTCTCCACATTTGAAACGGATTAATTGCCTTCGCGAAATTCAAAGCGGATCCCAGTGCAAGTCGAAGAGCGTTCTCCGTTCCGTCAGAAAACTTCATGATCGCCTTCTATCCCGGCGAGATCAGAATATTTTCCTACGGGGACATGGCTTTCGAGACGACCACGGCAGATGACTTCATGTTCTGAAGACGATGACGGCAGTGAAGAGGAACCTACTTCTGTTTATGGAGGAGACTAAAGAATATTATTCGTGAAACTTCCATCAACGGTGGTTGAAAGTTTAGTGAGGTGCGGGGGGGGGAGGCGGGGGGAGCCAGGAAGTAAACTGCCTCTTTTGGATCCCTCTACTAAGTACGTATATGATTACCCAACGCAAGCGCGCTATCCGTCAAGTTTTGGGAATCAACGTTTTGGAGCTAGCACCTGGCGATGCCCTTGTAATGCTTCTAAAGCAACCTCCAAATCATTTCGTATCAAAGTGTGGTGAACTGTCAACATAGAAGATACGAACGTTTCTTTGAGGCCGCATCTTGGCCAAGTAGGCGCCTCTCTCAAAATTGGGTCAACTTTTTTTTGCGACACACGGGTTTGAGGGTTCAGATATACTTTATGTCTATGACCCTTCATTATTCATGTATTCCGACGGATTCGTGAGTATTTATATTTTTTTACTGTATAAAAACCCTACGTGAACACACACCATCATTGGCCTGACATTTCGAAATTTCCTCTTCAATGTAGTTAACACAGCTCTAGATTGAAAAGAAGCAATTTTGAGTGCAGAATCGCCTCTCCCTCTCTTTTCTCCTGAAGAGATCTCAATAAAACAGAAGAGTATTTGAGTAAGGGGAATATACATATTCTACAAAATCAGGGGAACCTCCCCTACCAACTATGACTGCCACTGACTGATTTTTATGCCACCTATAGCAAGTACAGATTCTGGCATCACACGATCACCTCAACCCCGCCCCAAAATTCCCCTAAAATGTAACTGTTGAAATAGCGACTTCTAGACATTTGCCGCCTCTCCAATCTAGTCCAGTTCCCTTTCGTGACAACGATTCCCTATAAAAATACCCTCCTAATTTCGGAAATCAATACGATGGTTGACCGTTGTACGAAATGCTTCAAGTGTAACGCATCCGGCTTTGATATTACTTGGCCTCCTTAGAAACCGAATTCTTAGCATTCTGAAAACGGTTGGCGAGCTGAAATAGGGGTCGATAGAAGGCTCAAGGTTGGAAGGAGTAGTAACATTGTAACCGAAACTCAGTGGAACACCACATGGGTAAAGGGAACGAGTACAGGGAAAAAAATCCCAGGCTATCAATAAATCCATGTTTAATAAGGAAATAGTGGTGAATGGGTAGTATAATATTAGTGTTACGATCCCAACGTGATGCATATAGGGCATTACTGCATTCCTCCATTGGCGCTAATTGCATAGTAAAAGATAACTTTCAGATTCACGTTCGTTCTTGGACGAGGTGAGGTAATTCGCGGAATGGATATCGCTATGGAGGGCATGTGCGTCGGAGAACAGCGCAAGGTAAGTTTTCGAAGAGTTCTGAAACCTTTCGAAATTTCCATTTCTTCTCAAACCATTCATCCTAACGCCTATCAAATCGCCGAGTTCAAATAAGTGCATTTTTAGTCAATTTTTAATTTTTTGAATAATCGAAAGCAGAGTTTTTAAAAAAGACGGATTGGCTTTTGTTTTCGAAGGTCACTTTTCTTAACCCACGCATTTCAGGTAACCATCCCTCCTGAAGAAGGATTTGAAGAGGAAGATGAAACTTCAGTCAATGTAAGGAATACTTTTTCTTTTCTTTTGAGAGGCAAGCGGAGATCGGGTACGGTAGTAAGCTAGCCAAACTTGCACCACGGGCGGTTCAATGAGCACGTAACGTGGAGGTGCAAGTGAGGTGCAAGTTTTTCCGATGATGGTGGAAATCGCTTCTATGGCACCTAGGAGACCTATTTATGAAACTCTGAAGAAAGCTTCCCAGGTGAGCTGCAGCTCCCTGGCAGGGTGGTTCCTTGTTACGCGCAGCCGTAAAACGCGCAGGAAGGGCTCGCTGACAGAAAACGGGACGCGGAGGGGCGAAATACAATGTGTTTGGAGAGACGCAGGTGACGCCCGTTACGCGCAGCAAAAAGTCCTTCGGAGGACTTTTTGGAGTTGGCCAACTTCAAACTGCCAGGTGCGTGGGTCAAAGCACGGTGTTGGAAAGGGAAAGGGAGGCATCTTGCATTGATTCGTCAGTGGTGTAGCGCCTGCGGTCCGTTGGTGTTGGATCGGTCACGGGATCAATACTACGAGATGTCTAAAGGTTTGCAACCTTGCAGGCTATTCCCTTTTCTCTACAACCCTTTCACCGTCGATAAGAAGGGCTCCTTAGTGCAGTGGTAGCGATGCCGCTCATGGGACGGTGCACCGAAGGTTCAAACCCGTGTGTGACGCAACTTTTGCAGCAACGTGGTGGATGCTCACCACTTCCCTATGGCAAATTGCCAATGGCTCAAAGGGAACGTTCCACGCTACCGCTGGCAAGGTTGCTTGAAGATTGCAAGAACCACAGAATTGCTGCTACTAATCCATTTACTCTCCTGCACGTAAAAACTGATTCTCCCACAAGCGTATCCCTTCTATCAGATTGTGGGGCTCTAATGGAACGACGTTCAGCCATCGTGCTAGGTCGACTTCGAAATTACAAAATTCCCTCCCCCCTAAGCCGCTGATATAGTATAGTGTAGATAAACTTGGTCCTACCCAACCCACTTCCATCTCCAACCTCGGGGTATAAGCAGAAAGTACGGAATTTCAAAATTTCTTCTGATTCCTGAAAAAATCTCAACACTCAAAATATTTTATTATTTCATCTTACGAATCCACTATCCCAACGAGATATGACGCTCCTCCAGAAATCCGAAATACGAGCCACTGGTTGAATTTAACCCAGAAGAAGTTGGCATTGAAATTAATGAAGTTCTCCGCTGATTGAGGCTACTTCAATCTTTTATTTGGAAAGGGTACCCTTCATGATAAGACCTGACTTTAAAGCAAGAACCCCAGATCGAACTGGTGTGTTAGAGCGGTCGATGATGGAATTGTGATTGCGGAGTTGATTGAAAATGAAAAAGAACCAAAGAATACTGCCGGTGAGGCCCTTAAATGAAGACTCCCCATCTTCCCCCTTGAAAAGGAGGCGTGTGCCGGACGAGTTGTCCGAACTTACTTGCTGCGCCAGCATTTACTATTGGCTCCGTGCCAGCAACAAATACCATGCAATCGCACAAGTCCCCGGAGCCATTCACGCGATCTCCACGGTTAGCAAATGGGTTTGTCGACTAGAAGGCGGACGGACCAGAATTGGCACCAATCCAATTCATCTCAGCGGCTCTCTGAGGGCTGTTCTGATTCAGTGATGGTTCATATCTTCTCTTCTAGGTCTCATGCATCTTCACTCAATTAGTAGCAATTGTATGGACCCTCTGGGGCGCCTGTCGCGAATGTAAAACTTTCCGTAGAAATCCGCTCCTCAGAAGAGGCTAGCATGACACCGAATAACAGGAGTGGTGATACATACGCGACTAGTCACGACTTGAAGTT